TTTTCTACGTAACTATTAATTTAGCTTTATTTGCTATTTGTATCATTTTACACTGTTCCTGTATTTACGTTACGGGTTATCTCGATCTCTCTAGGCATCGCATGATGTGCAACCTTGCTTGTATTTCCTAAAAGTGCTTTCATAGACATTTTCAAAATACACTAGACCCTCATGAATTTTTTCTCTCATTTTGCACAACAAAATGGGATAGCTTGGGAATAGCTTCAAGCCAAATATGGTATACGATGTAAGTGATGTATATCTGATTTAATATTTCAGTTGACTTACAATTGAATACAACTTTATCATGAGCTATGAAGAGGGATGTTTAAGAAAATATTGTTGGACAGAAACTTGCGCACAAACGGGATGTCAAATAGCACAGACAGTGCGCATGCGGTTGCCAAGCGTCGCATTGATGTTTATGCAGTTTGCATCAGATTTCGTGCATAAGATTTGCCTTTCGAACAAGTTACTATGCTCAATCATCAACTGACACAAATAAATCCAGTTTAAAACTGTCCGAGCACCTCTGGCTGGCGGCATAACAGGAGCTCCTATAGAATTGTCATGTTCGCGAACCAAGCACTCAGGTAACACAAGAAGCCTTGCACAAATTGTATCTTTTTCAGAATGTTGTTCTAGACTGTATGAAAAGTGGAGTTGTCTTCTATACTATTGAACTTGTCTTCATTTATTACGTGAGAGTTATCAAATTTACTTCATCTAAACGCACGAGAAGACGCCAGAAAGTCAATGAAAGTTTGAAATTGGGAAAACTGGTATTGACTAAAACGTTCATAAAGCCTATTACAACTGAAACTAAAGACTTCGTTCACATCAAAACTTCAGTTTTCAGACAACTCTGATTCGTAGATATTGGAATTTCGTAAATATTTGAAGACCTACTGCAAATTTCCTATTCTCTCATATGTGCGGATTAACGATAAAAGTATAACGTAGAGCAAGTTACAAAACTGAAGTAAACTAGCTTAAGCGTACCTGCCTAATTGCATGTTCTAAGGAACAGGCGACAAGGTTTTCGAAACTTCTGCCCGTCTTCCACCTTTTTGAGCGGATTGTTAGCAATTAAGCTCTCGAATAAATAGATGAATAATGCCTATCATTGATTGATAAATGTAAACCATAATCAATAAAAATTTTGTAGTGGACCATGTAGAGCACATAGCCACAAAGTATAAGCAAAGTGTTCACAGATTAAGCAAAGCCAGAGACATGATCGCACTTCATTCGCAACATTTTAGACAAGCAATCTTTGTTTCGTCAATATTCTTCGAGCCTCCCACCAAACTGAGCATATCAATAGCAGTGAACGTGATTTATACATTCTAACGCTAAAAAATGCCTTAGCTGACATTAAGCTTTCAGCATCCTTCTACAACATTTTTCAGAGTTGTTTTACTCAACAAGCATGTTTGGTTAATTGATACAGATTTATTTTGGCGATTGTGTGTACAGCAACAAAT